AGTAGCATAGGTGGTGGGTTTGGGACAACACGTTTAGAAAACCAATAAAAAATTCCGAGGGCGAGTACATCATAAATTTCCCAAGAATATGTTATCTATAAATGAACTGATTTCAAAGTCAAAACTTGATCTTGATTATATGAAAAATTGTGTATACACACACACACACACTTGAAACGAAAGTAATGTCCCCATGCTGGTACTATCTATTCAGGTTCTTGGAAGGGCTGGATTGGATATGGACCTAACCCTTTGCATTCTTTTTTAGGCACAAAGTAGCAGCTGGCTTGAACCCATGTTCTCACACTTTCCAGCCTAAGATTTTACCATTTCACCAAGAAATGGTTATACTGTATGCCATAGTAGAGTTAATTATGGTACACCATAATACAAAGTGATAATGTAAAATTTAGAAGTATTAATTACGATATTGATAATATAGTTGAAAAACCAAATTTAGAAAGGGAATAAAATATAAATTTATTAAGTGGGATGGACAAAACAATGCTGAAGAAACGAGGAAACAACTATTTGTCTTGCCGCTTGTTGATTTAAGCAATTAGATGTGAGTTTTTACTAGATGCATTTTTATTTTATTAATAAATTTCTGAGAAACAGTAATAATGGCAGGATTTAAAATATGATCAATGATATGATTTGATTTAGTTTTCTTTATGTCTATGATAAGAGTAGAATTTAAGACATTGCTCTAGGGCATCACAAACCAAAAAGGTTGCACCTAAATGGATGGGCTCAGGGCTTACCTGAGGTGCAATGTCGAGAAGCCCTTGGAGATCAATTTTGGTTTTATTGCTTACCTTCATGCAAAACATAAGGTATGATGTGGTTTCAGGGCAAGGTGTGAAGTTTTGGGAAGATACTTGGTGGGGAGGCTCTCCTTTTTGTTAAACTTTTCTGAGAATTTATAGATTGTCCAATTCTAAAAATAGATTTTGCGGATTTGGCAACCTTGGGAGAGAATGGTTTAGTTTAGGACTTGGGCTTAAGAAGGCCTTTAAGGGATCTTGAATGTGTTGGTTTCTCTTGTAACCGTACTTGAAAACTTTGATTTGTCTTTGTTGGGGAATGATGAGAGAATTTGGTTCCCTAATACCAATGGCTGTTTTACTTGTGCCTCCTTTTTTTAAATCCTTATTACCCCTTACAAAGTCTCAACCATTCCTGGTTAAGGAGGTTTGGTGTAGCCTGACTCCCCCTAAAGTAAAGATTTTTTGTTGGGAAGCTATCAACCAAATAATCAACACCCATGAAAGGCTTAGTTGTTTAAGGTGAAACCCAAAAACAAAGGAAGAAGAAGAGAAAGGAGGAGAAGGGAGAAGAAGAAATGTTACGAAGGTGTGTCTCAAGTTACTGTTTACACCAGAGACAAGGTTTATAATGTTGCTGAAAGTGCAAGTTTGCTCGCCCTTGGGTGCCCAAATACAAAGAAGAAATGAAAAACCAAAAAAATCCCTTTCGTCATATTGCATATTCTCAACACTCCTCCTCTAGCTGAGGATAGATATCTATCATGTCCAGCTTGCCTAGGTTACTATTGAGCTTTGGCTTGTGAACTCCTTTAGTAGAGCAGTTAACAAGTTGATCCTCAGATCTTACAAAAGGCAGGCAGACTTCTCCACTATCAATTTTCTCTTGGATGAAATCCCTATCCATTTCAATATGTTTTGTACGATCACGTTGAATAGGATTATGAACAATGTTTATAGCTACCTGATTGTCACAATAAAGTCTCATAGGATTTTTTTTGTTGGGATTCCCATTTCTTCTAACAAGATCTTCAACCATAGTAACTTTGAAACCCCATGAGCCATTGCCTTACATTCTGCTTTCGTCCATTGACCTTGCCCAATTTGCATATGTGTAGGCCTCAATCTTCAACTTTCCATGATTGGAGTATAAAATTCCTTTGCTAGGACACCCCTTCAAGTAAGCAAGAATCTTGTTGACAACTTGCATGTGAGAGGTTCTGGGCTTATGTATATATTGACTAACCACATTGACTGCATAGGATATATCTAATCTTGTCAAACATAGATAGAGAAGACGACCAACCAATCATTGATAGACCTCTCTATTTGGAAGAACATCTCCATTTGTGGCATTCAACTTGTGGTTGGGGTCAATTGGGGTTTACACCCCAATTTTCCAACATCCTGGAGCAAGTCAAGAACATATTTTCTTTGAGAAATGAAAATACCCTTCTTTGATCATGCTGCTTCAATTCCCAAAAAGTATTTAAGATCACCAAGGTCCTTGATTTCAAACTTAGAGGCAAGAAAAGATTTCAACTAAGAGATTACAGAGATGCCATATCTTGTCAAAACAATATCATCTACATAAACTATTAGCATAGTCACCCCATCATCATGCCTTCTTATGAACAAAGTATGATCAACCTGGGATTGAGAGAACCCAACTGCCAAGATTGCTCTTCTGAATCTATTCAACCAAGCTCTAGGAGTTTCTCAAACAAGGACAGAACCTTGGCAAACCTATTGGATCTAATACTTTTAAGGGCTGTCCATTGGCTAAAATCTTTGGAGCTGTTCTCAGACTTTCCTGTGGCTGACTTATTAAGAAATTGGAAAGAGATAGCTACTTCTGCTTTGCGTAAGAGGACTCCTAGTCCCTCATGGTCCCCTCCTCCCTTTGGATTTATAAAACTGAATTTTGATGGCAGTAGTTTGAGGAATCTAGGGCCTTCTGAGATTGGGGGAGAGTTCATGAATGAGGAGGGGGTTGTTATTGCCTTGTTCTCTGGAAGGAATTCAAAGAGGAAGGGAACTAAATATCAGACGTTTGGCCTTGGAAGGTGACTCGAAGGTGGTGATTAGCTGGCCGAAGGAAGAGGACAGTGGCTTGTGGAGCTATAACAATGAAAAGAAAAAATTCTGTTGGTTGGGCAGAGACATTGAGATACACTATAGCTGGGTGAAGAGGTCTGCCAACTCATTTGCAGTTGGGCTGGCCAAGCAGGGGGTGAATAGGGAGGCTATCTTTTGGGCTAATTATTAACTTTCTGTTATTGTATTCTGTTGATGGGGAGTTGAGACTTTTTACCTCCCCTATTGTATCTAAAGCTTCATAAATATTCACATCATTAATAAAGTTCTATTGTTATTGATAAAAAAAAACCAAGCTATAGGAGATTGTTTGAGTCCATACAAAGACTTTTTTAAGTGACAAACCTTTCCCTCACCATTAGGAAGGCTCTCCTGATGGTAGGTCCATATAAACTTCCTCCTTTAGGTGTCCATTAAGAAAGACATTTTTCACATCCATATGATATAAAAGGTAAGAGAAGTGTGCCACAAGAGACAAAATCACATGGATAGAACTGATTTTAGCTACTAGAGCAAACATTTCCTAATAATTAGTGCCATAAGTCTGAGTATACCCTTTGGCTACTAGCCGTGCCTTGTTTCTTTCAAGTTTCAACAAAGCCATCAATCTTGTGTTTAACTATGTACACCCACTTACATCCAAGTATAGATTTATCCTTGGGAAGAGAAACAAGCTCCCAAGTTTGGTTCTTTATGAGGGCATCCATCTCCAGGTTCATAGCTTCTTTCCAATGAGGTGATTGCACTGCCTTTGTAACACTATGGGGAGTAGAAACAGAAGAGATAGCTTAGATATATGCACAATAAGAGGGTAAGAGAGCATCATAAGAAACATAATTGGTGATGGGATAGTTGGTGCACTTTCTCTTTACCTTGCGGATGGTAATGGGAAGATCAAGGTCAAGATCAATGATAGGAGCATGAGTAGGTTCAAGAGGAGTAGGATCAAGGTTACTTGAGTTTGGGTGTTTAGATTGTTATGGACATTCAGCATTAAGAGCCTCCTTTTTCTGCCGCCTGATAAAAAACTGTTGCTAAGACCGAGGACGAGATACATAGGAGGGGGAGGAGGAGGAGGTGAAGGAATGGTAGTAGAAGATGGATTGGAAGTAGAAAATGAGTCTGGAATAGGAAGATAAAAGGGAGTCCAATCTTCACTAACATTCTCCCCCTAAAGATAAGGACAAGATGACTAGAAAAAGGTGGAGGACTCGATGAATGTAACATCCCTAGAAGCTTCCATTCCTTAACTAGGAATAACTTTAAGAGTCACAAAGAGTTCCAATGCACCACCGGCACACAACAAGGCCAAGGGAAGAGCCAACACATGGCTAAGAAGCAACAACAGCCCCAAGAATAGTCTGGGTGGCAAAATATAGGAAGAAGAAAACCCCCCAAAAAAATTTATAGTGTTCAAAAAATTACGAGACTCACTTCCCGTCTTCCTAGAAATATAAAACGAGCCAAATAAAATTGGTTTGTGGGAGAAAAACTCCATTAAAGGTGCTGAAACAACCTCAAAAGGGTAGCTCATTGGGCTGTGATTCGTGGGGAATTTCAAGGTGTTTCTATCAATGATTTGCTTAGGGAGTGGCAGGTGGTGACAGATTTTCAGATTAGGAGACAACAATGGGTGGTCAATTGGTCCCCCCCGATATAGAGATGTTCAAACTCAATTCTGACAGCTGCAGCCTTGGAAATCCCTTGGGAGTGGGAGGGAATTGTTAGGGACCATGGGGGCAGTATCATTCTAAGCTTTTCAGGTCTGGCAGGCCAAGGGAATTTTTCAAGGGCCGAACTGCTGGCTTTGATTCAAGGTTTGAAGTTGTTTGCTAGACAGGATTTTAAGGAATGTGGAAGTGGTTACTGTCAAGTGGTTTTATGTTGGACGACAGGTCAAAGTGAAATCCCATGAAAATCCAGACCTCTAGTCAGACTGGCTCATGCTCTAGGTGCTGCATTGAATTCCTCATTCAAGTGGGTGCCTAGGAGTGCCAACATGATGGCTGGTTCTCTGGCTAAGCCTGGGGTTGGAGAAGTTTGTTTAGAATGGGGATGCCCAGGACCAGCTGCTAATTTGTAATAAATGAGTTGCTGTCATTTGTTTTTGTTTCTGCTGTTAGTTGTGGTGAGGCCTCTTTTGGGAGGCCCAATGTTGTACACTTCTCTGCATACTTTGTGTGCAGTTTGGTGTTTAATGAAATAAAAAAAAATTATCCTGTTTAAATAAGAATACTTGGTTTTTATTTCTATTTACAGGTCAACATGAAGTTCTTGCTTCAGGCCCTATTGAGGACTTGATAGCTCATCGTGAGCATAGGTAATTCTCTTTCACTCTTCCTCTTTTTTATGATCTTTGCATGGAATTTTACTCATCTCTCCATATAAATACACAACGTTCCTATCCAGGTACCGCATCTCTGGATCATCTTTGCTTGCAGCTATGGATCAAAGTTCCCAGGTTCCCTATACTGATATTTTGTCTATTCAACCTGGTGATCCAAGTTCAACACATGCAGATGATAGAGAACCGGTAGATGGGCCATTTATCAATGTCAATAGGGAAAAACAGAAAAACAGTGTAGATTCAACTCATCTACAAGCAAATAATGAAACCTATTCTCGAGTGGATGATAGAAGTGGAAGAGTCCATCCTGTCGTTGACATAGCAGAAGTTCTCAGGCGTTGGACACATGCTTTACAGCGTATTCATAAACAGTCACTTAATCTGGTAAGTCATTATTTTGTTTTATATTACTATTTTATTCCCACATAAGGATATGGCACTGAACAGCACAGAATGGCAAAACAGGATTCATGTGCCGAACCCTTATGGCTGGAACAAGGCTTAGGTGGTAATGATGATTCATTGATTCTATTCCCACCTAAGAAATATGATTATTATTCCTTTCTGGCGTTATCTGATTCTTCTCATGTAAGGTCACGACTGATAAAATGATTACAAACATATTATGAAATTTGAAAAAAGGTACAAAGAAGAGGAAAGCAAAAGCTTCTCACCCACGACATGTAGTTGTTTCTTTAATAAAGTTAGGCTGAAGGGGTCTTTTTCTTGGTTTCTGTTTCTTTTAATGTGTGTGTTTTTTTTTCCAGTTAGATATTCATTGGCTAAAGTAGTCCCATTCATCTTGCCATTTTAACTAAACATGTGTCTTAACTGTGTATGGGAAGGATTAGTTGTGTTGTTTGGTGAGTTTCCCCGAACAACCCAGGAATCTTCTTCCACATGATAACCTATTTTAGGGACCCAAGGGGAACTCGTGAGTTTCTCCATTCTTTTCCCATGGGGTAAATTGAAAATTTGAATGGCTGCTATAATTTTGGCAAACTTCGAACCAAGGTATGCTACTGATATGGACTACAGTAGTGGATGCATAACTGATCTAGGGGATCCTATATATGATGGATGTTATGGATAAGGCCACATGATCATCCACACTGATCTTGCCTAGTAGTTTGGCTTTTCCAAACACTTGCACATGTGCACACATATTAGGACAACATCTTTGGACTAGTTTTATCCAGCTGTGTAGTGAGCAGTACCATATACATTAATAATGGATATGGTACCGAGGACAGAAAGGTGGAATAGGATGCTTGTAGCCGACTCTATATAGTTGGGACAGGATTAGATGATGATTTCCTGTTGGTTGGTATAAGACTAAAATATTTTCATTTATGATATTCCAAGTCTGTAACTGCAGTAAGGAATTATAGTTTAGCAGTTTAGAAAATCTATTATGTTAATATAATAAAAAAATTGATGCCCATAATATTGTAAAATGCTTTGTCTTGTAGCAAGCTGTCCCAAACAGGGAGAGTAGTGGACTAGCCACCATTGTCAGTATATCAAAAGGGCATGCCTATGTGCATAATAAGGTGCATTTTAAGGCACACGCCTTGCTTGAACTGGCAAGACAAAAGATTTAAACTCTCCACACTCTTAAAACAGATGACACACAAGGGCAGAGTAATTAAGCCTTCTGTCTTGTCTGGTATTGTCAATCTGTAGTGTAACCTCCTAGCAGAAAACTTCAACCTTTGGAGGAAAGGGACCCTCACAAATGGCTTTAGAAGGAAAAGATTGGAATAATAGGTTATTCTGGTAAGATGTTTTAAAAAATGAAGCATATGAAAAAACCCATTTTGGGTTGGACATCAAATTCCCTTGCCTACCCCAGATGGAGAGAGAAAAACACCTTTCAAATCTTCCAGAAGGTTCACGACTTCATCAATTTTGTAACCTCTCAATCCCAATTTCTGAGATAAACCCTCATATGCAAACGAGATCAATTTGGAAATAGTTTATTTCTTGTTATTGCACAAAGCAAAAGTCCTAGGATAGGTTTGACATGAAAGTTTATCCCCCACCATAGATCTTCGCAGAGTTTCATCAGACCCTACAGTGATCCCGTCTGATATTGCTACCAAATTGAGGTCAATTGAGCTAATATCCTTCGGGGGGCATTGCAAAATGGAACCTCTAGTAGGTCCTTAGTTCCAACTTTCAACCATTTATGTTAATGTCATATTTGCTCTTGACACCAAATCCTGTAAGGATTAGCTTTCAATAGGAAATTTCCACAGCCATTTACTCAGAAGAGCTGTATTTTTATCCCCTATTCTCTTCAACCCTAGCCCACTCTTCTTTTATCTTATACACCATTTCCTAGTTTGTCAGGTGGTGTTTTTTCTCCTGCCACAGAAATCCTTTATTACCATCTTCACAGAAACCCTAAAATTCAAAATAAAGTAGGCAGGGAGACTCAGGAATATGGATTTAATAATTGTGATTCTGCCCTCAAAGAACTCTGGGTTCTTCTTGCAAGTCACGTAATGAGCTGTAGTTGTGATAGGCTTGGATTTTTGTTTTTTTTTTTTTGGTATTGTTTTCTTTTTCCATAATCTGGTTTTCTTTGTTAGTTTTAAAATATTAACATGCTGTCACTCGCATATGATATTGTAGGCCAAGGCCAACGATGGAGAGGGTCCAGAACTTCTACGAAGTGATCATGATGAAGGTACTGGTGGCCATGCTGAATCTTTAGCAGCAACACTTGCAGAACATCGGCAACATTTAGCTAGCATACAGGTATTTAAACATTATTAGAGAGATGACTCTTGCAGCATGCAATTGCTGTAATCTTTGAAGTTTATTTGCTTCTTCTTTTGTGTTTTTTTTTAATCTTTTTTTTTTTTTTAAATTCAGTTGTTCCTTTTGCAGTTAAATGGAATTTTCCAATACCTTCTAGTTTCTTTACCCTTGTGGGTATAATTTATATGAGATCTGGGTTCTTAATGAAAGAAAGGATGGAACTTTTGTCTCTATCTAGTGTTATAGATCCTAGCATTTTTATGTAAGGTGGACTATGGCTTCTCAAGTTTGTTGGCTTCTCTGAGAGCTACAGAAATCTATTGAGCTTTGAGATGTTGTTGAGATGCTTACCAAGTAGTTGGCAACTTGTAATCTCTACTGGGCAAAGGATAAGTCCAATAAGGCTCACTTTTTAATATATGGCAATACGGTTTTGTGGTGTTTAAGGTCTTAATGAAGGTCTTTTTGAGAATTTGATGTATCTAGATGTACTTTTCTGGGAACAGCTGGATACCTTGTTTCTCTCATCAACTAGGAAATTATTCATAAATCTAGAGAAAAATGTTTCTCTTTTGTGGCAGGTGAACTTTTCAGGGAAGCACATTGTAAGGATTCTCATTTGGCTATTGAGTAACCTTTGTCTGTTGTAATCCATTAGGTTCATTCTTGCTAAGCTTTCTTATTTTATTAGTTATATTGTGAGGAACTGAGGGTACGAGGTTAGAAAAGGATCTACAGGTAGGGCTGTCAATGCATTGGATAGATCTGATAGAACCAGCCTGACCCAATAATATAGAGTGTGGGTGTAAATTATTTTTTGGTAATAAATCAAAAAGAAAATTTATTGAATTTAAAAAGAATGATACAACAAGGTGATAAGACATCACCCAACAAGACAAAGAGATCCAGATACTACTGTTCTTCTCTAAGGCCCTGTAGAGAACACTGATGTGGGCCCCACAGCTACGGTCCCACTGTGTTCGTAGGGTAGAAGGTGTTCTAGTCTTCCTAGGGTTAGCCGTTGGTCRTTTAGTTGTTTCAGTTGCTATTTATTTCAGTCTTATTTTGCTCTATTATGTTATGTAAAGACTAAGGGCAGATCTGTCCTTTCCATGTAATGAGCATAACCTATAAATATTAATTAAAGTGGCGACGGCAGAACATTAAGCTTCTGCTCCTCATTTCAACTCTTATGTTGTACTGCTTCTCCTCCCTCTTTCTCCTCTCTTCTCTTTACCTTTCTTCTTATTTTCGAACCTGAAATCCATTAGGGTTCAAAACTGATAACAGTCCTGAACTTCTACTTGGTATCAAAGCTAGGGTTTCTCATGTGAGTCTAGTCCAACCGACCACATGAGAACCATCTAAGGCTGGAAGCTGAGAAAATAGAGTTCGTTGACTAGTTCTTGGAGATCTCCAGAGGGTTTAACAGCTGTTTGAAGAATTGCCACAGTTGCGTGTTGGTGATCAGGAAGAATCAGAGAAGGCTAGGGTTCGGGTAATCTTGGAAGGCAGCGAACAACATCCTATTGTAAGTTTTTTATTTTCTGAGAGAAGTAMTATCAGAGAAGATAGGTTGGACCTATCTAGCAAGGGCGGCTGAACCACTCTAGGGTTTTATCTTTCTATTCTCTAGGGTTTTGTCTTAACCCTGCGGAAAACCCTAATACTGGACTGAACCTTGTGATCTAATACTGCGGCAAACCCTAATAGTTCTCTCCTCAACATTGATCAGTTTTAGGGTTTCATATTAACCCTACTACAA